ACTGACATCATCAATAACAGACAGTATAAATAATAACACATTTATCAATAAGATTAACTTCCCACAAAATACTAACTTGCCACAGCATATTCGTATCTTATTACAGGAAAAACGCAGAGCAAGATCGAAGTGGCATAGGACTAGATACCCAACAGATAAATCGCATTACGCCCAACTGACTAACAAACTGAAATCAGAAATAAGAAAATACAAAATTCAAAATTTACTAAACTTTACTGAAAAACTTACAACCACTGACAAATCATTATGGATGACCATCAAAAAACTTCTTAAGTTTCAAGACTTTAATCACCCACTACTTACTGATTCCCAAACCTGGTCCAAATCCGACGAAGAAAAAGCCCAACTATTTGGTCAACATCTCTTCCAAACTTTTAACCCACATCCCGATATCCTTAATTCAACTCACATCAATTGTATTGAGGCAGAACTGGATATTCCTCTCCAAATGTCTCTGCCACCCAAAGCATTTCATCCCATAGAAATATCCAACATCATTCAAAAATTGCCTTCCCGTAAAGCTCCTGGACATGATCTAATTACATCCCAGATCCTAAAACTTCTTCCTCGAAAAGCCATCCTATTCCTTACTTACATATATAATGCTGTACTCCGTTCTACATATTTTCCTGATCCTTGGAAACGATCTATTGTTAAAATGATCCACAAACCCAAAAAATCACCAGAATACCCATCCTCTTACCGTCCTATCTCTCTTTTACCCATCATGGGCAAGATCCTAGAAAAACTCATCTTAAAACGCCTGTACCCTATCCTAAATTCTAAACACATAATCCCAGATCACCAATTTGGTTTCCGAACTTCCCATTCCACTATACAGCAATGTCATCGTGTGGCAGACGTAGTATCCTCTGCATTGGAGCGCGGAATGTACTGTACGGGAGTCTTTCTCGACGTTGAACAGGCGTTTGATAGAGTTTGGCACCCAGGACTGCTGTACAAACTCCGAAAATTCCTACCACCTACATACTTCCTCATTATCCGTTCTTACCTTACTGATAGATACTTTAAAGTAAATCACAATAACGCCTATTCATCCTTTTTTTCCCAGTCCGCTGGTGTTCCTCAAGGTAGTATCCTAGGTCCTATCCTCTATACAGTTTATACAGCTGACATCCCAACCCATCCCAACACTGTCATCACCACATATGCCGATGACACATGTATCCTATCAGTAAACAATGACCCAGCAATTGCATCCCAAATGCTTCAATCACACATCATAAATCTAGAAGAATGGTGTCAAAACTGGAGAATTAAAATAAACTCCAATAAATCCCACCAAATTACCTTTACCCTTCGTCGTAAACCAACGACTTCCTGTCCTACAGTTTCCTTTAACAATACTCCACTTATCCCTGTTGAGCAAATCCGATACGTAGGACTCCACCTGGACAAACGACTAACTTGGAATCCTCATACTAGACTGAAACGACAAGAAACCGCTCGACGTTTCCGATTACTTCAGCACTTACTAGACAAACGCTCTAAACTTCCCATTAATTACAAAAGACTCATATACTTGACTATAATAAGACCTATTTGGACTTACGGAGTTGAGCTATGGGGCTCCACTAAACCATCGAATTCCTCTCGCATCCAATCCTTACAATCCAAAATCCTTCGTAAAATCCTCAATGCTCCTTACTTTGTCACTAATAAAATTATCCATAAAGATCTTAATGTTCCTTATGTTTCAGATCTGGCCCAATCCAGATACCTATCCTTCCATAATAAACTTCAGAATCATCCCAACCCTCTCGTTTCTAACCTTGCTTCCTCTTCAATTCCTGATAACCCTCCGAGGCGTCTGAAAAGAAGATGGCCCCGTGATCTCCTAATGTAGTCATATCATTAGAGTGCTACCATTTGGTAGTTACTCAGCAAGTGTATTCATGTCATTATATCAATTATGTCCAAATTTACTTGATGTATTTATGTAATACAGTTGTAAATGTCATAAAGAAAAAAAAAAAATAAAATAACACAATTCATTTTTTCTATACCCTAGTGCGTTGTGAAGCGTCCCACGGGTGGCGGATATGGTAATGGTCGGTGGAAATTCCTCGGGAGTACCTCCCTGCTAAGTCCAATGACCTCTCTCATCAACAATGAGAGGGGCTCTCCAGACTTGCACATACGTTGGACATACGTTTAGTCACATATCTATAATCACAAAAAACCAAACAACCATGCATCTTTCTAAAGTAAAGCTCTCATTATCCGGAAGCAAACTAGTTTCTTGTTAAGATCTCCGTGTGGGGATTGCTTGAGTAGATTCAACTGACTTTCAGTTCTTTCCCCCCTTCTTACGACGCTAGACTCAAAAGCTATAACAAAACTTCTCCACCATACCTATGCTTGAAAAAATTGACTGAAACAAGTTTTGATCATCCATTAAAAATTCGCTTTTATTCAACACATAATAAGGCCTGAAGGACTGAACGACGCAGTTCATCACCTAACATAAACAATACAAAATTCAGCATGGACCTCTAACATCTCTAACAAAAAGGCACACAAACATAGCCATCATTTCATTTTGCCGGAGATAAGACACCTCATCGTACTAAAGCGAAAGACTCGTAAAATGTGGAAAAGAACTCGTTACCCATCGGACAAACACAAGGTTAACTTATTCGACAACTTTCGACAGAAAATTTTGAGAATTTCTTAAATGGTTAAGCAACTTCTGAGAGAGGACTTTGGAGTATATCCAAACGGATTCAACAACACTCTGATGTCTCACGTTCTTTCAGACATCCTGATGGTTCTTGGACAAAGTCAGATGCTCAAAAGAAACATTTAAACCTCTTGATGTTATAAATGACAAATTCTCTACTACAATTATTCTAAGTCAACTTAACGTATCCCTCACCTATGACATTACTACCAAAAACAATTCATCCTTACGAAGTTCAAAATTTAATTCATAGCTTGCCTATGAACAATGCTCCGGGATTCAACTTAATTATGAATTTCGTAATAAAAAAATTACCTTAGAAAGCAGTCCTTTTTCTAACAAATATATACAATTCTATTCTGAGAATCACTCATTTCGCAATCCTCTGCAAATATTTTGAAGTTGTGATGGTATTAAACCTAATAAACCCTAAGACTCCCCAAATTCCTATCCTCCGATCAGCCTTCTTCCTTCCTTTTCTAAATTATTTGAAAAAAAGATTTTTCTTCACCGTGATTCTCTTGATATATTTTAATGTATTCCGAATCGTCAATTCGGTTACAGAAGCACCATTCAACTGTTCAACAATTCCATCAATTGGTAGATTACATTTTTAAATCTTTAGAATCTAAAACTGATTGTCCGGGAGTTTTCTTGACATTAGTCAAACCTTCGATTTGTTGGTATGAAGGATTGCTTTCCAAACTTAAAAATTTACATTCTCCTTCCTACTATCTGATATTACGGATAGACATTTTGCAGTCAAAGTACGAACAGAATGTTATTAAAGTAGGTGTACATCAGGGTAGTGTCCTTATTGTTTAATATACATATGTCTGACCTACCGGAACACAATGAGACCATACGGGTTACTTTTGCAGACGATACCGCAATCCTAAGCTCAGATAAAAACAATGTTCGAGCACCTACCACTCTTGAAAATCATCTGAACGATATTGCTGATTGGGCGACATAAGGTGGAATTTTTTTTTTTTCTTTTTATTGAGAAATAATACATTTTGCCACATTTAAGGGCATTGAGTACTAAAGCTGAGTGAGGCCCATTCATACCATATATACAATAAAATAAAAATAAAAATAAATAAATAAAAAATAAAAATATATATCTATATAACAAAAGTAAAAACTATAAAACCAAAGAAATGTAACTTGAAATCCAATTTAAAAAAAAAATAAAAAAATTGGTAGCAAAACATAAATAAGTCATAAGTAAAACAAATAAATATATAAAAAAGAAAAACATTCATACTTAATTACAATATTTACAATCAGCCAAGGGTGCTCCGAGTCCAGCCCTTTCTTCCACGTGTGAAGCACAAAGCGAGACTCTAAGAGATCACATTCCAGCGCTTCTCTCTCAGCCGCATCACCGGCAGGAGTTCAGTGGAAACTGAGAGAGGGCAAGGTGGAAAATGAATTTAAAAAAAAGTTTGTATGTATTATTCACTCATTACCATACACCTTCCCCTGAAATATATTTTAGTGACATTAAATTCCCAACATCAGATGTAATTAGATATTTAGGTTTTTACCTGGACAAAATACTTACTTGGAGGACTCACATTAGACAAAAAGGAATAGAATTAAACAGACGATATGGTATTTTATCCAGGTTACTTTCCAGAGGTTCAAAATTATCTTTAACTAACAAACTTACCCTTTAGAAAGTTTTACGAGTTTCTGTTAAAACCTCCAACATAAAAAAAAAAATCAGTTCTTTCAGTCAAAAGTGTTGCGAAGGATAGTTGACGCGCCGTTTTATGTTGCAAATGATACACTATATAAAGACTTAAACGAACCAACAATTTTAGATACTGCACAAAAAAAACTACAATAACTTTCACCAAAGACTGACAACATGAATCCTTTGACAAATATCCTTAATCGTACAAGAAATCCGTGCAGCCCACCAGGGCGATTACGTAGGCATTGGCCAAGAGACCAGCTGATCTGCTTTATACCTCGGATGTAATGGGAAACTGTGAAGCTTCCAACAAATTTGCTCATTGCAAAGAAATTTGCAGATTGCAAAGATAATTTAATGGTACACATTTTTTAGACAATAATATATTGATTTTTGAATTGAAATAATGTTAATTAAAATATAATAATAATGACAGTAAGCTCTAGTACTTATTAGCCTTGAGTGTGTCAAAATGTATTATTTCTTAATAAAAATAGATGTAATATTTTTTTTTTAAATATGGGCCACACTATGGTTACTACAGAAGCATATTAAAAACGACTACGAAACACTTAATATCCCTTGTATTTAATTTGAGGTTTAAATTATATGTAGGTATAGACTTCTTTGTAGTGTGGGTTCCCAGAGTCCTTGGTCTTGATGTCGATGTGCTCTAGAAAATTGAGTATGTTGGGTGGAATCTCCCCTTTGTCGTTCATCACGGTCCTTAGGAACTGAACTGGAAGCCAGACCTTCTCCACCGTCAGCTTGTCGGTCCCATTCACCGCCACGTCGGCTACCATAGCGATCGCCATGCTCAGTCCCGATATCACGTTAGCGTGCCGCATCGACCTCACAGCCTCATCCCACGGAGAGTACAAATCATCTGCCGTGGATTTATGCGGTGTCTCGTCAAGAGTATCTGCAAGCTAAATAGAGGTATCTTATAGCATGTTTGAAAAAATAAGTCTCTCATGTAATTTATCATTATGACATGATGTAATGTATTAAAAATATGTAAATAAACGATAATTAAAAAAAAAAAAACACTACCATCAGAGCTGGTAAAAGATGGGGGAGGAGAATTAAGACTTAGGCTTACTACTATAATAAACCAGAAACAAATGGGAGGAAGCAAGGATACCAGAAGCTTGGAACACGGGCCTTATCTGCTGGTGGGCGGGGTGGCCGAATGGGCTAAGGTGTGTGCACTGCACCGCCGTTGCCCGGCAACCTGACATATAAATCAAAGATATAAAAATAGTAACGAGTTCGCGTCCCGGTGCCAGGGGAGTCTTTTAAATCCCCGCTCACACCCCCTGGACCGGGAAAATCCCGTATAGCCTTAATGGTGAGGAAGTGAAGGACCCCCCCAAAAAAAGGCCTTATCTGCCATATCCTAAAAAAGTGCTCCATGTAATTACAGAGGCATAGTACTGCTTCCAGTTGCCTACAAGATAATGACCCTTAAACTTATTTATTGGAAATATCCGTATAACGAAAATATGATAGGCGACCGCCAACTTACGAGGAGCACACTAGACCATATTTTCATCCTAAACCAAGTGATCGAAAAATTATGGGAATTGCCTCAGAATATTCGTAAAGTTCAAAACTTTGTTTTTGGTAAATCATGACTGAACCGTAAATTTCCAAATTGTTAATGCGATTGACGAAGGCGGGTTAAATGGCTCTGTCAGGTCCCAGTGTCGATACTGAAGCATTCAAAGTTCAAACTGGCTTGTGACTAAGAGGCTGAGAGAAGGGCTCTCGCCGATCTCGTCCTTCAACCTAACCTTTAGAAGGTTACAAGAACAACATTACGTTAAAATAGAGGAATGCATGTCCGAAAGCCTAACAAAGTTCATGGATATGCAGATGATGTACCAATTAAGAGAACATGCTAAAACTCAGACACGAGAAGAAGGTCGAACCGGCATAAGATAAAACGAAATATATGATAATGAGCCCAAAATCCTACCCAACAATATGATCTGAATAGAAGAGAAATCTTTTCCGAGAGTAAAAAAATTCAAATTACTCCGCAATAACTTCATTCGTAACTAACGGTGGGTTATATACCAGAGCAAGCGCAAATTAGTTACAGAATACCGACCGTCACTGTCGCAAATCACAGTCGAAGTGTCAATCCCAAAAAAGCACTACAACAAGATGAACACACTTGCAATAAGATAGTTCAGCAGCTGAAAAATGTGAACATCCAAGCAAATCCAGCGAAGACGGACTGCATAGTGTTTTCTTATCAAAAGGATAAACTGAATAGACTGCCGAGAGCTCTCCGAGTGGCAAAATACGTTATACAACCATCAAATTCCATAGAGTACCTGGTCATAACAACGCACGTCCACAAAAAGACAAAAACCTGTCCTACCACCTGCACCATCTCCTCACATCCTCAGACATCTCGCTCAGGCTCAAGTTACAGGTGTACAAGGCCATACTAAGACCAGCACTCCTATACGGCGCACCGCTCTTTACACATTTAACTCAAAACACACATAGACACATTCAGCAATTTCAAAACCCAAATCTTCGGAAGATATTCACAACAACAGTGGAAAAAAGAAAAACCTACGGCTCTCCACAACATGCTGAATATCCCAACGATTTTGGAACTTGTGAGGACAAAGCATGTTAAATTCCCAGAATCACTTAAATACCTCCCTTACCCATTATTCTCAATTCTAACACAGGCACCTTCGCCACTGCGATGAAAGAATACATCATGAAAAAGTAGCATAGACGTTTAGTTTTATATATATTTGAATATTCAGTTCAGAAGTACTGAAAAAAGACATATCCCCAATTTTAAAATAATCTCAATTAAAGACTGCATGAAAACGCAACCACAAAATAGCTTTAAAATGAAATATCGTTTCAGAAAAAAATTAAAACTCTTAGTAATATATTCCATAAGATTATTCAAATTGGGAGTTTGAGAAAAAAAAATTCTGATTTGGAAAAAAAAACTGCTTTAATGAAATGGTTCATAAAAAAAAACGGCTCAATTTTCAATCATTAACTGGCAGAAAAAGACAGAAATTTCTTTCTAAAAAGTAAAATGTAAGAGACAAGTGTTATATAAAGTTTTTACATCTAGAATAAAATATATCAGGAATAAAAATCTATCTAGGTGCATCTGTGTGACAAGTCCCTTCATGAAACTGCTAGGAAGAATAGTAAAAGCACAATAGGAAAAGCAGTATGTTCAAGCTGAGGGGCAATGTGGACTTACCCCAGAGCGTTCATATTTCTTTCGATCACATTTTTGTCCTTCCTTTTGACAGCTTTTAAGAAAAACATACAGAGAAAGCGATAAATTCTAAATCTCCATAGATCTAGGAAAGGCATTTGATAGTGACAACTCAAACTACTATGGAGATCTGAAGAAAAACTGGTACTGATGAGGAATTCTTAGCCTACTTAGAGAAATTTACATGAATAATAGGTGCCAGATAAAAATTCATTATTATCGAATGAATTCCAAAACGGAAAAGGACTGCTACAAGTATGCTGTATGTCTCCCACTTTATTTAAAATATACAGAGAAGAATCCCTTAAAGGTTGGATGGAGAAAGGTGAGAAAATTAACATCGAGTTAAAAGAAAATAATCTATTTAATTTATTATTATTTGTTTATAAAAATAGTTAACCATTATGAACAAGAAGACTTCAAAATAAATTATAACAAAACTAAATAAATGTACTCGCAAAAAGAAGAAACTACCAACGCAACATTATGTATTTAGTGAAGTAGTACAATTTAGTTAGTTGGCAATCATTGCAACATAAGACAAAAAAAAAAACAGTGGAAATGATTTGTTCTCTACTTTCAAGCAGCAATATTTTTATATAAACAAGAAAACTAATCTGTAAAGCTTTGATAAATAGTGTAATGCTATATGTATCGGAGACATGACTTTGACCCAAGGAAAATATTTCCTTACGGTAGAAGCAGAATTCTGGGGGAAAGGTAAGTTAAGATGAGTGTGTCTTTATAGACTGTCCCCCTCCTGTCTTTCATACTATCAAAAAATTGTTTTCCTAATTGGAGGACTAACTGGACAAAGCAATTCATTAATTGCTAAGACACTCATGTGGGAACATAGCAAGCTGGCTGTACTTAATTCAGTGCCCACAACTAGTGCTTAGCTGTAGTTGCACACTCATATCATCAACAGTCAAGAAATGCACTAAATTTTTTAATTTAAACTTACATCGTTTTCATCATGATAATAAACGCGCCTAATTCTGACAGGCTGCGTGTTTGGTGTACAGATTTTGCTAGAGTTCGGAGGAAATTCATCGCAGCCAAACCTGGTAACTCCAGTCTCATCTTCTTCTTCTTCATCCTCTGATTTTTGAGGATCTTTTAGTTTAGACTCAGTCTTTTTTTTTTTTTTATTCTCTTTGGATTTAGCATCTTTTGCTTTAGCACTTTTGGCGTTGTCTTTTGAGTTAGGATCTTTTGTTTTAGCCTTTTTCTCATTGGCATCTTTTTTGTTAGCACTCTTTGTGTTATTTTTTGGGTCAGAATGAAAAGAGAAAAAAATAGAAGCGTTAGACTTTTTCTCATTTTCATCTTTTGTGTTATTTTTTCCATCTGGATCTTTTGTGTTAGCCTTTTTCTCATTGGCATCTTTTGTGTTATTTTTTCCATCTGGATCTTTTGTGTTAGCCTTTTTCTCATGGGAATCTTTTGCGCTAGCGTCTTTTGCGTTTTCCTTTTTCTCATCGGCATCTTTTGCGCTAGCGTCTTTTGCGTTTGCATTTTTCTCATTGACATTCTTTGCGCCAGTATCTTTTTCGTTGACATCTTTAGCATTACCGTCTTTTGAGTTGGAGGTATTGCTATTCATTTTGATTAAAGAACCCATTTTCTTAGATGTCTTTTTTTCTTTTTCCATTTTTAATGGGCCGTAATTTAAATGAAATCTCCTTTTTAGTCAGCTAATTTAACAAAAAATTTTGTCATTGTGATGTTCAGGAATCTAGTGTTTGTAAATAATCATAAAAAATAACAATCAACACATATGACTTTATAAGTAAAGCTGTTAAAATTCAGAATATGTATTCAGAACGTCATACCAAGAAAAGATACGGAGATACAGTTGATGGAAATGAATTATTTATTTTATTAATCTTAGCTATTAGCAATTATTTTGGATAAATACTAAATCGAGTTCATTCAATTCGTATTGGATAAATATTTAAATAAAAAGTTCACCATTGTTAATAACAAATTTAAATTTGATAACTATGAATTAACATTCTATACAACTTCTAAATATAGTTCATAACCACTCTCATAGTCTTATAAAAGAATCGATATGTATTTCAATGAAACATTTATTTTCTTCTCTATTCCTTCTCTTTCGACAATACGGGAGTATAATTTATTGTATAAGATCAATAAAATTTAAGCCTTTTCCCTTTTTTTCTATCCAGGGGTCAACCTGGATTGAAATTTCCGGAGTTCCTGTATTGTTCACCTTACTACCGTTTTGAAATGGGCTGCGCCTATTTCCTCCACGGCTCAGTAGCACAAATAGCTTTCTACAGAGACGAGCTGAAGGAAATATTCTTCTGTGAGGATGTAGATACTGGTACTCCTAGACCCTCATTGGCTCTAACGCAGTGCGATCAATGATCACAAGCTAGGCAGTTTCTGAACACCACAATTGGAGCATAGGGGTTCGATATTCTGTCCGAAACTGTGAAACTTGGCACAAAAAAAAACATGTCCGAATAGGAAGTGAGAGAAATTTTTCATTGCATGTTGTGGAGAAACAAATCACACTGAGGATTGGATCGCCCCCTGTATAAAAAAAGAAACAATTAAATTTGAAATATTTTTTTTTTAAAATTAGAGATAATAAGCCAATATATTTGCTGAAAAAAAATTAGAATATTTAATAAACACAATAAGATATTTAAAAGTCATCAAAATTTGTTAGAGGTAGCCAATGATTATTTCAATAACTACGTCCAGGAATATTCGATAGTAATAATACTCACCAAGAGTCTCTTACTGCATAGCTCTCTCCAGGGACCTCCGGCAAAATCAAAATCTATTACTTTAGGCCAAAAGTCCGGTTTAGTTTCTAGGCTTCGGTATAGTTGTTGGGTAATGTAGTTTTTAAACACCAAGTTAAATCACCACAAACTTCATAGATCCATTAACAGCGGAGCTCAAATAATTTATATACCTAAAATTGTTTTCTTTTTTTATAAAGATAATTTTTACAAAATTATTCTCAGAGATTTAACAAATATAGAGCTGATTAAGAATTGATAAACGTACAAACCTTGACATTAATTAAGGAGACTTAATACTTTACATATGAAAAAGAGTAATACATTTAAGTAATGAAATGGAAACTAACACACATACTATGAAATATGAAAAATAACATGAGCAGCAAAGCCCCCTCACAAGGTTTTATTTCCTCCCATTTTTGTTTAGGAAACCAAGGAAATTTATTAGGTTTGGGGGAAAAATCTGAGAACCTCAAAATGGCGCTTACCTAATACCATTTCAATTCACATTTAAATTCAACTCTGTAACTCCATTAAATTTACGTAAAACATTAAAAATTAGACGGTAACGCTAAGAAACGCTTGTATATGATGACATTTACTAAAACTTTTAACGTATTGTTTGGTCTAGAATACAATCTTACGTACCAAATTCCAAATTATCTAGATAGACTTAAGAGGAGAAATCATCATTTAAATTTACAAATAAACGACTCACTTGGAACCCCCATACCAGACTGAAACGACTAGAAACCGCCCGACGTTTCCGACTACTCCAGCACTTACTAGACAAACGCTCTAAACTGCTAAATATTTACAAAAGACACATATATATTACTATAATAAGGCCTATTTAGACTTACGGGGTCGAGCTTTGGGCTCTATTAAACCATCAAATTCATCTCGTATCCAATCCCTACAATCCAAAATCCCTCGTAAAATCCTTATTGCTCCCTACTTTGTCACAAACAAAATCATCCATAATGACCTTAATATACCATATGTTTCCGATTTAGCTCAATCCAGATACCTGTCCTTTCATAATAAACTTCCAAACCATCCGAACCCTCTCGTTTCCAGCCTTGCTTCCTCTTCTATTCCTGATAACCCTCCAAAGCGTCTGAAAAGAAGATGGCCTCGGGACCTTCTAATATAGAAATATAATTGGAGTGCTACCAATGGGTAGTTTCTCTTCATGTTGTACATGTCATGTTACTTGTTTTATTTATTATTAATTACAGTTTTAAATTTATTTAATAAAAATTAAAAATATACAAATAAGACTTATAAGTTTCTCGTTCAAAGACGGGATAAAGAAATTGTATTTTATAAAAACATAGTATAATACAATTATAATTTATTGATGTGAAAACTAATTATCTATCGTAAAATAATATTCCATTAGACAATTTTGTATTCATTAGATTTTTCTACATCAACAGACGCAAGAGATGGAAATTTATTACTACGCCTTGTGGTTTTCACTTGAAACTTGGTTTGCTCAATGGTTCAAAAATGCAATAGCAGGATTGGAATAGTCTATTCGAGATTTCATACTAGGTAAATAAATTATATACTTCTTAGAGACTAGAGGCTAGAACTTAGGTCTCATTCGGAGGACGACGATTTTTACTTTTATTTTAAGTAGCTCTGATAATGGAACATACGTATGTATGTATAATACATATGTATTATGTGCAATCATGGAGTGGTGTAGCTTAGCGGCTGGGTACTGAGCTTCCAATGCTAAGGGTCCCAGGGTTGAACCCCGGCTCATGGCAGAAAATTTATTTATCTGTTTCATTAGCCGCTGAACGTCTCTGGGTTCGGGAGACCTTCCTGAGGCAGACCCAGCCCCTATAAAGTGGGTAGTGTTAATTAAAACATATTTTAAGAGGTAAAACCTGGCGGTTGATATCAGCTCAATCATCTCCTTGTAACAGGACTTCCTCAAATAGTGCAATAGCATCCAAGATCCTTCACAGCTTGTAGTGGTACAGATTTTCATATAATTTTAAACAATAATAAATATTAGCACTTCTAAAGAGAGTAAAAAAATAATTGAAATTAAAAATTAATGTTTTGGTTAAAAATTATTAGAAGGCGATTTATATATCCATAATGGGTGGTCAAATAGTAATTAAAATTTCAGATTTCACGTTTTTGTTAACTTGGCGCTTCTACAGCAGCCTTTTGATTAATTTATTTATTAGAAGTAATCAGAAAATTTATAGAAAATTAGTTATTTATAGTCTAACTAGCTATCCAACGACTAAATAATTTTTGAAACTCGGTCAACTTAATGCCTACTTTTTTTTTTTTTATTAATTTTGATTACATTTAGAGCAAGAATGATAAAGATATATTGGTCATGCTTATAATGTTTGACCATTTGATGTCCCTTGTTTTGACATTTTGTTGTTTTAACATTTTTTTCACATATTTTTATTAGGTTAAAATAAATGATATTACTTTTATTTATTTTATATATATATATATATATATATATATATATATATATATATAAAATGATTATTTGGAACTGTTACATTAAAATATATATAACTCAACGACAAGAAAAAGTGTTCAGCCAGCTGTTTTATGCTTCGAAAATACATATACTGGCTAATACCTGGTATAAACAAACAAATGTTTTTATTTGTCAGCCTTTCCCGTCACACCGTCCCAAAAATCATATTTTTTTGTTTAATTTCTTTAATTTATAAACAGTTTATTTTTATTTATATGGGAGCGGGATAGCTCAATGGTAGGGTACTGACTTCCAAAGCTCAAATCCGGATAATGGCAGGTAATTATTTATGTTGTTTCATCAGCTGTGGTCGACTCTTTTGTGACACACCCAGGCTCTATAAAGTGTGTACTCTCAATTCCCTTCATGGGTTGTCGTGGTACAGGTTTTTTGATCATTTTTTTATTATATCTGTATTATAATTGTAAATACTTTTTTTTTTAAGTTGTACTCGAAGTTTTGCCTTCTTTTGTTATAGAATAATATATTGTATTATTATTCTACGTTGAATTTACTGGTAAAATATAAACAATATTAAATTATATATCTTTGTCCGCTTAATAGAAAATATATTTGGTGAATTTCTTCGAACAAACTTAATTATAAAATATTTACAATTATTAAATTCGAATATTATGTAAATGGATGATTTGACCGGAGTAAATTTTATAGAATAATTTACCATAGAATCAATGATAAATCTACAATGATCTAATGGATGAAATCATGATTTTAGAATTTGTCCATAACATTTCCAAAGAATGTGAGTACAAGTCGGTTAGTAACTTCGTGAATCACTTCATGTTACATCATCGAATTGCCATCAATTATGTCGTAAGGGTGAATTTAGAAACATCCCAATCCTTCTAGAGATAGGCAGACTGAAAGCAGTGCCACGCTGTCATTAATTGAATCGAGACAAGAGCCCATTATGAAGAGACTGTTCAAACAGTCATCGAGAAGGAAATCAGAGTCGGAAGTGAATAAATGTTGAAGTGGGGATTGAGGAAATTAATCCCCTAATTAGGGTGACAAAGGATCGCTGACTGGGGATGTCACTAATGAGTACCCCTCACGCCAGTACACACAGGGGTCTCAGACCACTTTCGCGTCCCCACGATCCCTAGCCCCCACTCTCACCTAGTAGGGGACCTGGACGATTTCATTAGCAGCAACCTAAAATCTAGCCTTTTAATTTAATCATCTTCCATAGTCTAACAAACAATACGATATAACCTGTTCATTTGGAACAGTTATCGTTGATTGTTATTATTAAATAATAATTGTTTGGATTAAACGCTTACCACATTTCTGCCAGTCTTGAATGGAGAGAATTTTATCTTAAACAAATTCTTTCGAACTAGAATCCCCCAGAATTGTTATAGAATCAAACTAAGTTCCTAGACTATGGCGGCTGGGAGCCATCGGGCGCAGGAATGCCTGTATTTATTTCATTGAAG